CAAGGAAAAAAAGGACACAAATGCAGACAACCAGGTAGGCAGGAAGAGTTCAATGATTATAATGGTAAAGTGAGTAGAAAGTAGAGGATCCTCAGGTAACAGGAGGGGGGCAGGGAAGGTGCAGGCAGGTAGATTCAATGCATCAAAGGACTTTGATTGGAAATGTCAGCTGAGAATTTGTGAAAAGTGTTATCTACATATCAATGTTGGAAAAAATAGTCAACAAGCGGAAATAGTTTCCAACACCTCAGAGTTCTGCATTACTCTACAGTTTCCATTCACCCCTCTGCAGCAGCCTGACCACAGACAGTTCACAACAAGCACAGCAGACTCTTGTTTTATATGTCACACTGTGGCGTGATTAATACGAAGGCTGGCCTAGACTGCAGCCAAGGGTGCCCTCATGTACAAGGGCCCCGGATTGGCCTGTACTGCTGCAGATATTGTACCTGTTGCTTCTAGAGAGCTAGAGCCGTTAACTGCTTGCAGATGTGCTGTCAACCACTTGTTTCTGTACTCTGTCTCAACGTTTTTGTGAATGTGTGTGAATGCCAGTATACCCCAAATGTGTGCAACAGAACAAACAGGAGTCAAAGGTGCTGATATGTCAATTCACCTGTGAGCATGACAGATGCACCGGTCAACAAGCGATTCTGCCCCCTCCTCTTCACAGACAGAGTGATCTTTCTGATGACCTCATGAATTATGTGCCCATCGCTTTTTTCTTTTTAAATTTTAATTAAAACTGAATGACAGATTGTAGATTTCTCCATACCTCTGTTTGCTTTGGTATTGAGCAGAAATAACATTAAAACTTGATCAACAGTGTATACCCATTTTTGAAACAGAAAAATGGTTATTACAGATTAAGTCTGGTTAGGTTAGTTCTGTTAGATAACAAAGACTGCAGTAAAACAGTCTTTTTTAAAGTTTTTAAACTTTTTTTAAAGTACATTGTCATGACCTGGCTCTGGAGCCGTGACAAAAACAAGGAGACGCAGATTAACGGCAAATTTTTAAGCAATTTTTTTTAACAAAACAAAAAACGCAACCAGAAAACTAAAGATAAACTACAGACATTTTGGGGTGTTTTTAACAATAAACCCCGGGGGGGGAGTGTGTGTGCGCGGGGGTGTTGTTGTGTTGAAGGGTAAATTTTGGAAGCCGAACCCCACCAAACCAAGCCCAAGGGAGGAAAGCAGGGGGGGGGAAACAAAACAAGGGAGGGGGGGCTTTTGTCGGCGGGAACGGCCGCGGGGTGCTGGCTCTGGTGTTTGGGTCCCCCCCCCGCCACCCAGGGGCTTTAAAGGGGAGGGGAAAATTAAAACCCACACACAACGACGCTTCTCACCGTTAACAAGTTGGTTGTTGGTTTTTGTTTTTGTTTCCCCCCACCTACAACCGTAAAAAAAAGGGGGCGGCTTACCTAAAAAAAAAAAATCTCTCCCCAGATGGTTTTTAGAGTGTTTTTGGTGTTTGTGGTGCTCTGTGTTTTGGTGTTACAGGGGGTGAGAGACCGGGGGGGGGTTACTTCTTTTCTTAGTGTGGTCCGTTCCTTGGACGGAACGCGGGCGGACGTTCGCGGCACATACAGCTACCCATCCTATATATCTGGGGGTGTTACTACTGTTAAAAACTCTTTGTGGTTTAAAAAAAACTGTAGGCGGGGGTTGGGGGGGGGAACCTTCTTTTTCCTTCCTTGTGGAGGAAGCTGTGGGGCAGCGGTGGTGTTCCCCACGATCCTCCCCCCTACGCCGCGTGGTACAAGGAGAACAGATTCTTCTCGGCGAAAACTTCTTCTTCTTCTTACTACTTTTCTTTCCTTGCAGACATTTTTTTCCTTTTTGTGGACGGGCGGGTGGCTTCCCCCCCTCTCCTTCAGTTTGTTAGACTGTTTTACGGTACTACGGCGACCTTTCCCCATCCTTTGGGAACTCATGTCTTCTTATTTTTTTTTTTTTGACCTTTTCCGCCTAAAATGGCTTACAGGTCTTTTTGGTCTATCTTGCCAACCCGGGACCTACGTGGTTTAAAGCGACTGAGGCTTCTAAGGCTTCATCAAGGGTCATCCTTGGACCTCCTACCAACTCCAACCCTCATGAACCTAATTCTTCTAAATTTTTGTTCATTTCCATAAATAGCCGAGTGTTGAAGGGCCCTCGAAGTCGGTGGAGGGCTGCGGAGCGTCGGTGGTGGTTGGGCCCTTTCAGGTGCGTGAGGACGCGCCGTTCCAAGCTCCAAACCACCTAAGTGAGAGCGAGCTGTTCGCCTTGTCTCTCCAAATTCACAGCAGGAAGCTTTGAATGGAACAGTATTTTCCCGGGTGGGGCCTTGACTGTGGTCGGTCGCCGGGGAGGAGCCTCTCTCCGCGGGGGCCGTGGGGCTCTGCGGGGTAAATCCCCCCCAACCCCCCCCGAACCCCACCTCCAACCAAACCAAACCAAACCAAATTATCAACAGGCAAAAGGAAAAATTTTTTGGGAAAGGGAAGGAAACGAACTAAAAAACGCAGTTAATTTCTTTTTTAACTAAAACTAAAAAGCAGAATTGCCAATTACATATATACGGTGAACGGTCATAAGTCCAAAAATTGGTGAAAAAATGTACAGATTGAGAGTGAGGAACACGGCCTGGGCATAGGGTCGGGTCGGGGCGGACTGACCTCGCTAAGAGGAGAGGCGCGGCTCCCAGACCGGGGAGACGGAGGAGAGGGAGCGGCACCGCCTCACTTCTTCCCCTCAATCCTTAACTTTTAAACATTACACCACACCAATTACTAACATTTTCTAACTATAACTTAATTTGTTTTATTATACAAAAAAAAAAATTTTTACCTTGTTTATTGGGAGAAATGCCCAAAAGTCAAATTATTGCAGCAAAATATGTTTCCTCATGCCATGAACTGAGGACAACCAGTGGAAACTCAGATAAATGTATGAAATAATTGATTAGCTATATTCAAGCTTATTCAGGACTTTTTGTAAACTTTGTATGTCTTAAACACATTTGTTTTTGTTTATTAAAATAAAAAACAGCCCTTCTGTACATTCCAGAAAAGTGGAAACTCTGAACCCTGTCATCTTGTCGACTGTGGATTGGCGACACTGCCTGCTCGAACTATAGGAGCATTGTCTGTGTTAGCTGCAACATGTTTGGCATTGAGGTGGTAGCGGAGGCTGGAAGTGCTCCGGTGATAGGCAAATTCTTTTCTCAATTTGCACACAACTGTGCTTTTATCCAGGTTTCCACCCGGTAGTTTTTTAAAACCAAGATTTCCGCCCACTCGTGCAACGAGCAATGTTCCGCGTTTTTTCTGTAATTAATTAATCGTAATTAACGCGATAAAGTCCCAGCCCTAATTTTAATATTATATATATTATATTTAATAATTTGTTATTACTGTTATATTGACAACAGACTACTTGTTTTAACTGTAGTTACTTTACTACTGTTTTAATGACATTTTTAGTTGACACAAACTGATTGATTGATTGATTGTAATTAATTACTTATTGACTGAGATTGATTGATTGTGACTGTGATTGTGATTGAGTCAATCATAGTTACAGTATTACCAACAGTATAGATTATAATTAACTTATTGTAAATATTGTTTTCCTTTATTGTTATTACTATTATTTTTAATTCCAAATGCTTGCTTTGGCAATATGTACAGTGTTACATCATGCCAATAAAGCCATTTGAATTTGAATTGAATTGAATTGTGTGTGTGTGTGTGTGTGTGTGTGTGTGTGTGTGTGTGTGTGTGTGTGTGTGTGTGTGTGTGTGTGTGTGTGTGTGTGTGTGTGTGTGTGTGTGTGTGTGTGTGTGTGTGTGTGTGTGTGTGTGTGTGTGTGTGTGTGTGTGTGTGTGTGTGTGTGTGTGTGTGTGCTTTGTTGCCATGGGAAACAGAACTGAAAACAAACTTCTTATTTTTTCCTTCTTCTTGTTGCCTTGTATGTGGTCTGTGACAGTATGTCTACACATTTGTCAAAGCTACAATAGAGACACTTAAAGCAGCACAGCATGGACACATTGTCTGGTCATGGACATTAGCAGACTGGTGAATGTCTGCTGTTTCAGGGATCACAACACATCGCAGCAAACATCAAATCTTTTTCTTTACCAAAACCACACCTCTTCATTTCTGACGTGTGCTAACTGCTAACTTCATATCAGTGTAGATGTACAGTACCTTGTACAGAGAGAAGGAAGACAACAAATCCACTCGCTGCTGCTGTTAAACTCATAGCTGCTCCTCACATCTCTGTCGATCACATACTGGGGGTTGAATACTGTATGTCAGTTAATCACAATATATATTTGTACATTAAAAAAGAGCATGTGATATCTGAAGACAGTTTGTCTCTCTGTGGTTTGTACAGTAAGACATCAAGGTGTGAAACGTTGCCCTGGCTTTCTTCCTCTTTAACTTCATTAACATGCATGAAAAGAGCCTGTAAATCACCAAGTTTAAATTAAGAAATGATTCTTACTATTGTTATACAAAGAACACATGAACTTCTTTTTTTTATTAAATATATATATTCTGTCTTTTTATGTCTTTGATGGACAGAGAGAGCTGAAGACAGACAGGAGATG